TTTGAAGTTGAATTCAGTTAACACCCTTCTTTCAAAAAGTAAAAGCAAACAAGCCAAGGAAAAACTCTCTAGGCCCAGATCATTTTACTGGTGAATTCTGTCAAACTTTTAAAGAAGAAACAGTATTAATTCCATACAAAGTCTCTAGACAACTAAATGGGAAAGGGTACTTCCATTCTCAATTGACAAGGCCAGCATTACCTTGATTCCAAAATTAAAGACATTATAAGAAAACTAGAATCTCTCATAAACATAGATGTGAATTTAAAAAAATATCTATTTTATATATAGATGCTCCTCAACATATAATGGAGTTATATCCAAAAAATCCAAATTCATCGTAAGCTGAAAATGTATGTAATATACCTAATGTACTGAGTATCACAGCTAAGCCATGTCTACCTTAAGGGTGCTCAGAACATGACATTAGCTCACAGTTGGGCAAAATTACCTAATGAAAAAGTCTATTTTTTGAAAAGTCTATTTTATAATAAAGTGTTGAAGATCTTTTGAAATTTATTGAATACTATACTGAAAATGAAAAACAAGATGCATAGGTATAGGAGACAAAGATGGGTATTTTGTGAGCATGATGGGACGTGAAAACATATAATACCACATCTAAAAACTGCTAGCCACACAGCATAGTAGAGCATTGGCTGTTTACCCTCAGGATCACAGGGCTGCTGGGAGCTATGTCTCCTTGCTGCTACCCAGAATCACACAAAAGTATTCTGCTGCACGTTGCTAGCCTGGGAAAAGATCAAAATCCAAAATTTGAAGTAGTTTGTAATGAATGTATATCATTTTCACAATACTCTAAAGTCAAAAAATCCTAAGTAGAGCCAGGAAGTATCTATCTGTATTGCTGAGTTCAACAATATACAGGAAGAGTAATATATCATGATCAAAGGGAGTTTATCAAAGAAATGCAAGGCTGGCTCTACATTTGAACATCATTCCAAGTAATTCACCAAATCAACAAATTAGAGACAGTGAGCATTTGACAAAATTTAACATCTGTTCATGATAAAACTTACAGCAAACTAAAAATAGATACGAATTTCCTCAACTTCAAGGGCATCTATGAAAAAACTGCGGCCAACATCATACTTAATGGCTAGAGACTGAATACTTTCTCCATAAGATTAGGAATAACAGAAGAAGGCCTGCTTTTACCACCCCCATACAACACGATTGTCTACATGGAAAATCCCAAAGAACCTACTAAAAAAAATCAGTAATTAATAAGTCATATGATGAAATTAATGCGCATTAATCAATTGTATTTTTATATACCAGCTCTGAGCAGCTAGATAAACAATTTGGAAGTTTCTCATAAAGTTAAGTACATGACCCAGCAGTGAAATAATTACTTATGTTTATTTAAAAAATGCGCATGTGAATTTTTTAGTAAGAGCTTTATTCGTGTGATGGTTAATTTTAGGTGCCAACTTAACTGGATTAAGGGATACGTAGAGAACATTTAAAAGGACTGCTTCTGGGTGTTTCTGTGAAGGTCTTTCAGAGGAGACTGGCATGTAAGTAGGTGGCATCCAAATAGCTGGGGTCCCAGACAGAACAGTAATGGCAGAGGAAGGGAGCTCTTTCCTGGAGCTGGCACACTTCTCCTGACTTTGAATGTGAGAACTCCAGGCTCTCTGGCCTTTGGTCACCAGGACTTACACATCAGTAGCTCCTCAGGTTCTCAGACCTTTGACCTCAGACTGAAGAATTATGCACGCCATTGGCTTCCCTGGTTCTGAAGTCATCACACTTGGACTGAGTCATGCTACTGGCATCCCTGGGTCTCCAGCTTGAAGATGATCTGTTGTGGGACTTCTTGGCCTCCATACTCATGTGAACCAATTCCCCTAATAAATCCCCTTTCATTGTGCTTATATTTAGCCTATTGGTTCCATCCTTCTGGAAAACCCTAATATAATTCATAATTGCCAAAAAAACTGAGTAAAAAAATCCTAAGATATCTTTCAATAGGTGAATGGATAAACAAACTGTAGTACATGTGTACAGTGGAATATTAAACAAATAAATAACTAAAGCACAAACTACTGATACAAATAACAGCACGGATGATCTCAAATGCATTATGCTAAGTGAAAGAAGCCACATTTTGTTTCTATTTATGATACCAATGCAAAAAAAACCCAGTAGTAACAGAAATACAGATCAGTATTTGATAAGGGCTAAGTGTGTGACAGAAGTTGACTACAAAGTGGAAAAGAGGACTTTTTTGAAATAAGAGAACAATTGTAGGGCTGGGGATGTAGCTCAGTGATAGAGCACTTGCCTACCTGCCTAGCATGTTTAAATTGCGCGCATGAGAGAGAGAGAGAGAGAGAGAGAGAGAGAGAAGAGAGAGAGAGAGAGAGAGAGAGAGACAAAGCAAGAGACACACAGAGAGAAACTTAGAGAGAGACAGACAGGAAAGAGGGGAACTATTCTTTATTTTGATTGTGGTGGTATTACAACTTTACACACTATCAAAAGTAACAAACGGGTAAAGTTTACTATATGTAAGAATAAGAGAAACTGCCATACTAACAGACTAAGAAATAAGCAATAAGTCCATTTTAATAATACAGGAAATATTTCTGAAAAAAACCCCAACATCAATCCATGATAAAAACTTAGGTAGAAAGTTCTTCAACCTGATAAAGGATATCCAAAAGATCTATAGCTAACATCATACTTAATGGTGAGAGGCTGAATCTTTTCTCTCTAAGATTAGGAACAAGGCATCTATTCTATTCAATAACGTATTAGAAGTTTTGGCAAGTGCAATAAGGTAAGACAAACTGTTTTTTTAAAAATGCACAGCAGAGAAAAAGAAAAAAAATTGTTTCTATTTGCAGATGACATGAGTGCCTATGTAGAAAATCCTAAGTACTCTACCAAAAATGAGAACTGCTGGGTGCTGGTGGCTCATGCCTATAATCCTAGTACCTGGGAGCAGAGATCAGGAGGATTGCGGTTAGAGGCCAGCTCAGGCAAAAGAAAGTGAAACCCCATCTCGAAAAATAACCAGAACAAAAAGGGGCTGGTGGAGTGGCTCTAGTGGTAGAGCACCTTCCTAGAAAGCATGAGGCCCTGAGTTCAAACCCCACCACTGCCAAAAAACAAAAAGAGAGGACCAACAAGTGTATCCAAATAAATTAAAATGTAAATTAAGTACTATTTCCAGTATCATAAAAATATGAAATATTTAGGGATATGTTTGACAAAAGATATATAACACTTGTACTCTGAAACCAAAATATTGCTGAGAGAAAGTTTTAATTGATATACCGTATTAATGGATATACCACACTGATGGATCAAAAGATTCAATATTCTTAAGATAAGTTAATTTTCTTCAAATTTATCTATAAATTCTATGCCATCCTAATCAGATTCTAGGAAGGCTTTTTTGAATAAATTTATAAGCTAATTCTAAAGTTTATATGGAAATGCAGAGGAACACTTCTAACCATCTGATTTCGGGACATGAAAACATTTGTAGAATAAAAGTAGACATATAGATTGGTGGAACAGAATCTAGAAATAAGATAAATGAACATTTGATTTTTACAGGTATCATGTCAAATGAATCATATTCCTACAAATAAATCCTAAAATATATAACTTTTAGAAGAAAACTTAGGAGGGAATCTTAGAAACCATGGGTTTAGCAAAGATTAATAAGACAAAAACCATAAAGTATCAAAACTTCAATTGATTGGATGGCACCAAAGGGAGAAAATATCTGTAAAGCACATAAGTTCTCTGTTGGAGATATCTAGAATATATAAAGAATTCTAACTTGACAAGAAAAAAGACAATCAAATTAAAAATAGGGAAAGATTTGGACATACTGCACGAAATAAAATATACAGATGGCAAATAATAAGCACATGGAAAAATCAGCATCATTAGTCATTAGCAAAATGGACACAACAATGAGGTACTACTACTTACCCACTAGAATAGGTAAAATTTAAAAGATTTACCATGCTGAGTACTGGTGAGAATACTTAGTGCAGCAACTAGAACACTCATACATTGCTGGTAGAAATGTAAAAAGTATACCCACTTTGGAAAACAGTTGCTTAAAAGTTAAAACATATACCTATCACATGAGAAAGCCATTCTAGTCTTAGCTGTCTACTAAAAAGTGATGTAACACATATGTATAAAAACTTGTATGTAAATGCTCAGTACCATAATTGTAACCTCCAAAAAACTGGAAATGAGTCAAATGTTCATCAACAGGTGAAGCAAGTCAACAGACAAGCAAGTATGACATATTCATACAACGAATGGGATGTCACATAGCAATAGAAGTAATGATACATGTAACAAGAACAAGATGAATCTCAAAATAATTATGCTGAATAAAAGAAACCAGAGGAAAAACACACAGTATGTGATTATTCCTAGAAAATAAAAACAAATTTCTAGTGACAGAAAGCATATTATTTTTTTTGAGACAAGTCCTTGCTATGTAGCTCAGGGTGGCCTTGAATTCATGATCTTCCTGCATCAGCCTCCTGAGTGTTGCAGGCCTGAGCCACCACAGCCAGAAAGCATATTAATTGGGGGTTCCAGGCAAAGGGAGAGGGGGCTAAGCAAGTGAGGGTTAGGAGGGACTACAAAGAAAGTTTTGAGCAATGATGTACATTGTCATTATCTTAATTATGATGATTTCATGGGTGCATATATGTATCAAAAGTCATCAAATTGTACACTCTAAATATGTTGACTATACCCCAGTAAAACTTCTAGAAAAGTAATTAAACCTCAATAGGGACAGGGACAGAAAGCATTGTATGCTCTGTTCTTTACCAGTAGTTCAAAGATATTTGTGTCTTTTGGGAAATAAGGCTTTCAGGTAGAACTTCAAATTTTGTAGTGTTTACTTCTAAACCAAAAGAAAGTTATTTCCCATCTTTCCCAACCCCAGTGTACATAAGAGAAATAGCACTTCAAGCTGTCTTCACCTTAATTCGAGCTGCAGTGCCTTCCATTCCACGGTTCTGAGTCTCCTTCCGTTTATCTGCAACCTCCCGTTGTTTTTGGAGAGCATCCTTGAGACGCTTGTTGGCAGCTGCTGCCTAAATAAAAATGCCATATAGTTAATGCTGAACGAAGGGAACACTCTAAATTTCAGCATATTAGTAAAGAAAAAAATTCAAGATTGTTCTTTTTGGATCCTGGCTTCTAAGTCTCCATGGACATAATAACTGGTAAATAGCTACTGCTTTAGAGTCATGGGGAGGGATTTGTTTCAAGGAAGTTCTGCAGACTAAAAATGTGACATATCAATATTACTCTGGTTTTTGTAAAGAAGCCCAATTAGAAAAAAATTTGAATAGTACAATTTTTCCATCTGGGTTTTATCTGCTAACAGTTCAAAACACATACATGAACAGAGAACAAGATTCAGGAATTAGTTACTGGCCAATATTGATACCCCTGGCTTCCCAGGACATTGGGTCTTTTAAGGACTACTGTTTTGTCATCCTTCAGGCCTACAGATGACAATACACTTGACCTAGCAGACTGGATTTTCTTACCTACCTCCTCAGTTTTACGTCTGAGCACATTGGACTGTTTCTGAAAGTTTCTTTCAAGTTTGAGCAGCTCATATTGTCTCTTACGGTCCTGATAAGAAAAAAAAAGTTGGATCTTAATTGCTGTTCATCTAGCTATAATAAAATCTTATAATCAATAAGTCTTTGAGATATCCTCACTATGTAAGGCCAAATACAATATAGTCAGTTGCCTTCAATTTCTATCACAGTTAAGAACTGGTAGTTTTACTATTTTTTTAATTCATTTATTCACATAGTTTGGGTCATTTCTCCCCCCTGTCCCCACCTCCACCTCCTCCTCCCTAACCCCCCATGCTTCCAGGCAGAACCTGTTCTGCCCTTATCTCTAATTTTGTTGAAGAGAAGACATAAACGTAGTAAGAAAGACAAACTGTTTTTGCTAGTTGAGTTAAGGATAGCTATACAGAGAGATTCCTAGCATTGTTTCCATGTATGAATGTGTTACAACCCAAGTTGATTCTTCTCTAACTGATCTTTACACTGGTTCCTGATCCCCTTTCTCGTGTTGACCTCTGTCGTTTAAGGTTTTTGTATTAGTTCCTCTGGAGTGGGGACATCAAACGCTTTCATGTTTTGGGTTTCCTACCTATCCCCATTCCTCCCACGTGTGCTCTCCCCTTATCATGTGACCCAAGTCCAACAACATTGCTGTATTTGCCCTAGATCTAAGGTCCGCATATGAGGGAGAACATACGATTTTTGGTCTTCTGAGCCTGGCTAACCTCATTCAGAATGAGGAACTGGTAGTTTTAGAATCCATGTTTGTATATAGAGGAAAGGTGGATTCTTTTTCTTCAGCTTATTGCTCTGTGACCAACTTCTTGAGGTCTCAGTCTTAAGTCAGTTATTAGAAATAATATCATGAAGGGTTAGGGTGTGGTGCACATCTGTAATCCCAGCTACTCAGGAGGCAGCAGTAGGAGTCTGGGCTATAAAATTTAGTGAGACACTACCTCAAAAACAAGCCAGGCATGGTGGCTCACACCTGTGATCCCAAGTACTTGGGAGAAGGAAGTAGAAGGATCTAGGTTTAAGGCTTGCCTAGGCAAAAGTGTGAGACTATCTGAAAAATAACTAAAGCAAACAAACAAAAAGGGCGGCAGTGGGGGCGGGGGTTGGGGCATGGCTCAAGTGGCAGAGTGACGGCCTAGCAAGTTCGGGGCTCTGAGTTAATCTCTAGTCCCACCAAAGGAAAAAATAGTATCATAGAATAAGAAGCTGGAATGAACCTTAAAGATGATCTAATGAACAATTTCTTCCACATATAAAGCTACTGACACAGCTGGAACTAAGGTCTTCTGACAAACAGATCAGTACTCTTTTCTCCTCAACCTTATTGGCCCATTAATCATAAATCCCAGTGGCTGGCAAAAAGGAGAAAGCTTATCATATAGCCAACCAGCTATAAAACTAAGGTCACCTGCAGCTAAAAGAAGAGGCTATTTTCATTCCTAAACAAACCTAGCTTATTACTGAATATATCCTCTCTGCTCATAGATTAAAGATCAGGAACAGGAAATACTATGGGATATCACCTACTTCAACAGCACATACACACTAGGCACTGTGCTAAGTTTCTGGGATACAGAGATGAACACAACATGGTACTACTCTGACAACTACTAGAGAACACAAACATCATACATTTGCAATACAATATAATTATAATAAACATGTGTTGACATGAGAAGGGTATTAGAGAAACCGTGATCCTCCTGATCTCTGCCTCCTGAGTAGCTAGGATTATAGGTGTGAGCCACCAGTACCCAGCTAAGATTTTTGATTTAATTTTTATATATGGTGTGAGTCAGGTTGCAAATCTGTTATTTTGCACATGAATATCCACTTGTCTCAGCACCACTTGTGGAAAAACACTATTCTCTCCTTATTGAATTCTCTTGGCCTCACTGTTGAAAATCAGTTGATCATAAATGTATGAATTTATTTCTGGACTCTCAATTCTGTTCCACTGATTTATATCCATTCTTACCAGTACCACACAGTCCTAATTATTATAGCCTTTTTCTTTGGCTTCTTTGCCTACTCTGGGTCCCTTGCATTTCAAATATGAATTTTAGGATCAGCTTCTAAATTTCTGTGAAGAAGCTAAATGGAATTTTGATTGGTGCTGACTCTGTAAATCCACCTGAGGGATATTCCATCTCTAGAATATAAGTGTTCCCATCTATGAACATGAGCTATTTTTCTATTTACTTAGTTCTTTAATTAATTTAATGTTTTGCAGTTTTCAGTGTACAAACCTGAAACCTCTTTTGCTGAGCTGATTTCTAAGTATGTTATTCATATTGATGCTGTTATAAATGGAATTGCTTTCTTAATTTTACGTGTTTAGAAATACAGTTGGTTTCCTTATATTGATTTTATATCCTGCAACCTTGCTGAGCTAATATATTAGTTCTAGTAGATTTTTAGTAGATTCTCTAGGATTTTCTGCATGTATGATATTATCTGCAAATAGAGATAGCTTTGGTGGCTAGAACCTTTAGGGAAATATTGAATAGAAGAAGAGGACAGAGCAGATATCCTTGTTTTGTTCCTGATCTGAGGGGGAAATTTTTCTGTCTTCCATCATTAAATAGAGTGTTGACAGTGTTTTGTTTTTGTTTTTTAATACAGATCTTTATCAGGTTGAGGAAGTTCCCTTCTATTCCTAGTTTAAGGTTTTGGTTTTTTTTTTTTTTTTGTGGCACTGGGGTTTGAACTCAGGGCCTCATGTTTGCTAGGCCCTAGTTTAAGTATTTTATGTAAGAGTATTGAGCTTTTATCCATGCCTTTTCTGAGTCTATTGAGGCAATCATGTGGTTTTTTTTTTTTTGATGATGATGTTGGGGATTAAATCCAGGGTTCTGTACATGAGACATACTTCCAGAGCAAATCATGTGGTTCTTAACCTTTCTTTATTCTAGTGATATAGTGTATTACTTCCTTGAGTTCTAGTTCTAAATGTTACAGAGTTTTACTATGTAGCCCAGGCTGGCCTTGAACTTGTGATCCTCCTGCCTCAGCCTCCTGAGTGCCGGGATTACAAGCATGTACCATCATTCTTGGCTCACAAAATATTTTATTGCATAAATATACTACATTTTATTTACCCATTCATCAGCAGATGGACATTTGGATTGCTTTTACTTTTTGGCTATTAATAACAATGCTACAATGAACATTTGTATATAAGCTTTTATAGATGTGCTTTCAATTCTCTTGGTTATAAATCTAAGAGTAGAGCTTCTAAATCATATGGCTCCACTTTATACTCCCACTAGCAATGTATGGAGGGTTCATTTTTTTCCCCCACATCTTTGCCAACAGTTGTTATTATGTCCTTTTTAATTATAGCCATTTTAGTGGATGTGAAGGAACATTTCACTGTGGTTTCGATTTGTGGTTTTCATTTGTATTGTAAGTGTATGCCACCACATCTGGCTCAAGGCAGATGTATTTTTCTTTGTTCTCTATGATATACTATGCTCTATCTTCTGAATCTCATGGTCTTTTGTTCAAATACTGTACGTACAAATAGTTCCACTTGGCTTTTGGGTGTATACTGTTAAACCTAAACTCAAAAAAACACATGGAGACTTTATGGAGACTTTGAGACTCCTTCAAAATAATGCTATGGTCAGGATTTTGCTATAGCAAGTGCTTTTTCAACTCTCGAGCCGCATATTGTTTTTGAGTAATCATCATTTGGATTATATCCTCTTTGCGGCACTTTTGTTTCTTTGAATTCTTCCAGTCCTTCATGTAGTTGTGATCAGAATCATTGAGAACTTGACAAATCACTTGCAAGATCTTTCTGCTTTAGTGTTAGTGTCAGTGGGGGTAAGCAGGAAGTGGCCATATCTGCCAGACTGGGTGACCCAATGGAACATCACATATTATCGATATGATTGGATTTATGTCTTAAAGTTTGTCTCTTGCTTTCTATATGTTTCAAACTTTTTGTTCTTCTATTCTTCTTTTACTGCTTTCTTTTGCATTAAATGAATATTTTCTAGTGTAAGATAGTAATTCCTTAATGATTATTTCACTATATCTTGGGTTATTTTCTTAGTGACTGCTTTAGTGCTTATAGTAAACTTCTTAATTCATCAGAATCTATTTAAGATTTACATTAACTTAAATGCAGTGATTTAGAAATGCTGTTCCTATGTAACTCTATTCTCTCTTACCTTTTCTGTGCTATTATTGTAATGCACATTACATCTATATGTAACCCCCCCACATATTTTTTTTAATTTTGTTTTTTCAGGCAGGTTCTCACCGTGTAGCCCAACTTGGCCTTGAACTCCCATTCTTTCTGCCTCTACCTCCCATGTGCTGGTAATACAGGCTTGTACCACCATACCCAGTGTATTACAATTATTAGTCTATACAATTTATGTCTTTTTTTGGGAAGCACCAGGATTTGAACCCAGGGCTTCATGCTTGGGATGTAGGCACTCTACTGCTTGAGCCAGGCTTCCAGCTCTTTCTGCTCTGGTTATTTTGGAGATAGAGCCTCATTTTTGCCCAGGTCAGCCTGGACTGCAATCCTCCTATTTTATGCTCCCTGCCATCCTCAAGATGACAGGCACATACCATTATGCTCAGCTTTTATCTTGCAAACTCTTTGCCCAGGGTGGCCTAGAACTGGAATCCTCCCGATCTCAGTCTCCTGTGTGGGTTGGGAAGACGGGTGCATGCCACCATCCCTAGCCATTGGTTGAGATGGGTCTCCCAAATTTTTCCCCAGGCTGGCTTCAAACCATGATCCTCCCAATTGCAGACTCCCATATAGCTAGGATTATAGGCCTGAGCCACCAGCACCCAGCTAATTTGTGTCTTTTAAATAAGCTGAAAGAAGAAAGAGGAGCAAGTATATATTTACAGTATTGTTAGGTTTACTAACCTTTTCTGCTTTCCTCATTTACTCCCATCTACCTCCTTTGAGCTGTTATTGTCAAATATATTACATTTCTATTTTTTAACATTTCTATATGTTATACGCCCATCAATTTAAATATGTATGTTCATGTGTATGTATGTATGTGCATGTGCACACACACACACACACACACAGAGACATACAGGTTTTCTTTTTATGGTGCTGGGGATGGAACCCAGGGCCTCATGCATGCTAAGTAAGTGCTCTACCACTGCGTTATACCCCCACCTCTCTCTCTCTCTATAGTTTTATACAACTGTTATTTAAATCAGTTAAAAAAAGAAAGGAGAATATACTGTGCAATTATACTCTCTTTTAGAATTACCTGCATAATTATGTTTACTGGTATTCTTTGTTCTTTCTTTAAAAGCAGATTAAAATTACTGTCTGGCATCATTTGCTTTCAACCTAAAGAAGTTCATTTAGTATTTTTTGTAAGGTAGGTCTGCTAGTAATGGACTCTGTTAGCTTTTGTTTATATGGTAATGTTTTTATCTTGCCTTCATTTTTGAAAGATAACTTTCCTATATATAAGATTCTTGGTGATAGCACTTTACTTCAGCACTTTGAACATGTTATCTCCCTTCCTTTTGGCCTCTTGTTTCTGATGTGATTTCCATTGTTAATATTATTGGGGCTTCTTTCTATGTGATGAATGATTTATCTTGCTGCTTTCAAGTTTCTGTCTTTTAGTATTTTGATTGTGATGTGACTGGGTATGGATTTCTTTCCATTTATCTTACTTGGAGTTCACTGAGCTTCTTGGATGCATAGATTAGTGTTTATCAGATTTGGGAAGCTATAGCCATTATATCTTTCAATATTTTTACTGTTGTCTCACTTTGTTCTCCTGGAGCTACTAGTTTCCTCTTAGTTGCTTACCATAAAAATTTCTGTTTTTTTTAAAAGCATCTTTGATTTGAACTTCCCAATTCTGTCTCTAAATAGCCCCCTTAGGGAGGGCAACATTTCTATGGCTATTCCCATGACTTGCCTCTCCCCTAGAAAGAACTTCCATATTACTGCTTGGGACCTAGGGGTGGGAACAGCAGCTCAGGGTGAAAGAGCGGAACTTCAAAGTTCTTGGTTCCTTTTGCCTGAAACAGAGCTTAGCAACATGGAGCTATGCAGGATGAAACATGCTAGAGGCTTGTTCCTACTAGGAAGAAAGCATAGCCATGGATTGGAAGATACACGATGAGGGGAGGGAAATGCTCATAGCTCGAATGTCATGGATTCTGGCTGTTGTGAGATTTAGAAGATTTGCTTGAATAAATCTTTCGTCATTTGTTGCATGCCCTCAGGACATTTTTCAGAGGCTTTTAATAGTTATTTAAAAAAAATTCACCAGTTGTGGCTGTTTTGCTGGGAAGAGAGAGTCTACAAAGTTCCTTCAGCTGCCATTCTGAAAGTGCTTCTCCCTTGATCTTTTTGGATCATGAAAGATCTTTTTTTTTTAGTACTAGGTTTTGAACTCAAGGCCTTGTGCTTGCTAGGTAGGTACTCTACTACTTGAGTCACTCGATCAGCCCATGCAAGACCTTAACTTCTGTTCTAGTTTCTAGTTTCTCAATACTTCAATTTATTTTAAACAATACTCCCAGACATATCCTTTAAAAATATATTTTGATGATTTCACATTGCTCCTCTCAAATCTTAAACATCTTTATAAAACTAACAAAGTCCAAATATCTTGGATCTTTAACAACTCAGTTTCAACTTGCCTTTCCAACTGAATCTTCTACTATTAGCCACAAACCACGTGGACTACTCACCATTCCTTGAATATATCTGCAAAGTCATTATCTCTCTTTGCTCCTGCTGTTCCATCTATATGAACTTCCGCCTGAACTTATCACTACCAAAATCCTCCCTGTTGTTCAGGCCCTATTCAGTTAATTACTTTTCACCCCAAATGGATGCATGTTTTCCTTTCTCTTAGTTGCCATGATCTTTTATACCATTCCTTTTTTGTGGTACTGAGGTTTGAACCCAGAGTCTGGCACAATTCTAGGCAAGTGCTCTACTGCTTGAGTCATGACCCCAGCCCTTTTGTTTTGTGGTTTTTTTTGTGTGTGTGTGTGTATAGGGTCTCACTATGTTTTGCCAGGGCTGGCCTAGACCTCATGATCTTTCTGCCTCTACCTCCTGAATATTGGGATTATAGGTGTGTGCCACCATGCCTGGCTAATAATACTGTATTTTTATTAGTGTGTGTGTGTGTGTGTGGTGCTAGGGATTGAACCCAACATGCTAGGTAAACACTCTACCACTTGTGCTATACCCCTAGCCCTCAATCTTTTATACCATTCTTAAAGCCCAAATTTCTTTATGCCTTGTATTTGAGAAATCCATGCTTATGTTTTATCTTTCCATTTAGCTGAGACATTCTTCAAGGGCCAAGCTCATATGTTACTCATTTTTCTGTCTCCCATGGTACCTAGTAGATAGTTCTTGTACAGAGTAGGCAATACCAAGCTGTTAAATTCATGAATATGTCATGTTTTTGGAGACACCAGGTATTTGATAAGTTTAGTTGCTTACTCGTTCTTTTAACTGGATTACTTCTTTGTCTTTCTGCTGCTTCCACTGTCTAAACTTCTCAGCATCTTCTTTCATCTGACGCATTAACTGTACTCGCTGGTTTTTCATGATCTGTAAAAGTAAAAAACAGTAAAAGTATTAGACATCTGCACTTTATTGTAGGCTGATATATAGATGGATACAGTTACCATAAGGAAGAAAGAAAGCCCAGTGCTAAGCTGAGAAGGCCATCAACAAATTCTCTGATTAGGCTTGTAATACCCCTTGCTATATTTGCACAGGGTTTCCAAGGTTAGACTACCCAAATGAACACTCTGAAGAAATAAAAGAAAAATGTTCCTACAAGCTAAATACAGTCTACATTCACTGTATATAAATGAAATTCCCAGGACAATTTTACCTAGCAACCATTGTATTCTAAAGGTTTTAGTACAAGTAACCTGCAACTACTTTGCAGATGTTACAAGTTGAATATCCAATAATTGAGTATATTCTCTAAGGTGTCTGTCATCTTGCTACTGCTTTACAAAATTATGCCACATGATCGTGGAAGGTGATTAGGATAGCACTATTAAATATTCAGATTATTTTTGTTCTTTGGTTTCAGATAATCTAACATTAAATTCTGTGAAAAAATAGAAATTAGATGTTAATGCAAGGTTTAATAAGTCCGATTCTAGACAGCTAGCACAGTGTCCTGAAAAAAGGACATTTGTGGCTACTTTCACACTTACACGTGAAATGATTACCCAGCTTGCTACGGTCTCTCACCTGAAAACACCTTTGCAGTATAATTCTAAATGGAATGCCTATGTTTATAAGTTTCAATGTGGTAAATGCAAGGATCAGAGTTTATTACCTGTATCTCCTGGTTCAGTCTGGAGACAGTATGCTCTGTGGATTCCTTTAGTTTCAGAAGTTTGGACTGTTCATTCAGTTTCTTTTTCAAATCAGCTATTTGACCCTCCAGCTCCTGAAGACGTTTGCGGCGGCGTTCACTCAATCTAAAAACAGATTCAAAAGAATTGAAGACAGCAAAGGATGACTCCAAAAGACATAATACAAGACTCCAGGTTCACAACTCTCATATATAGCCAACTTAAAAATAACAAATACCACCCAAATAACCCAAACTGCTTAAGTAATGAGAGCTTAATACCAGAGTAAAGCAATATATTTTTGAGTATATAACAATGACACTCTGTGTCAAAAGGATAGTTCTTTGAAGGCATTTTACTTCACTTTAGCTGTAAAGAATAATTTGGACAGTTGTTACACAAGTCTGAGATAGAAGACAAACATTCAGCATAACTATTAAGAACATAAGCTTTACATTCAACAGAGATAAAATAGTCACTGAGTAAAAAGAAGACAGAATAGCTAATTAGGCTTTCTCTAAGGCCAAGGTCTAAAGGAGAGTAGGAGGTTCTAGTTATCTGTCTTAGTTTTCTTCTTCTTTTCTTTTTGGCAGCACTGGGGTTTTGAACTCAGGGCCTCATGCTTGCTAAGCTGGTGCTCTACCACTTGAGCCACTACACCAGCACTGTTTTTGTGTTGGGTTTTTTGAGATAGGGTCTCACGGAATTATTTGCCTGGGCTGGCTTCAAACCTCAATCCTTCTGATCTCTGCCTCCTGAGTAGCTAGGATTACAGGCGTGAGCCACCAGCATCCAGCCTTAGTTTTCTTCTTAACTGATTATAAGTGATGGGGAGATTTAAAAAATTTTAAAATTTATTTTAACTAATTTTTTTGTGGTGCTTGGTATTGAACCCAAGGACTCCCACATGCTAGGCAAGCACTCTACCACTGAGCCACATTCCCCGTCCTTACAATTTTTATTTAACTACTAGCCTGGACATTAATTCTATTTACAAGCTAATTTACCATCAGTGTAGGGGCAAGGACACTATTTTTGTCTGGTAAGTCTGTCAATCTTTCAAGCCAGTTCACATGCTCCTTGATCATGACAGACTAAACTGGTATGTCCTGCCTCTGTACTCTTAACCTAATCACTCTAAGGAATTTGTTTGGCTACTAGCTGTGTGCTGTGTTATGGCACTCTTTAGTGTCATCCTGAGATATGCTTTAAAAAAATCTCAATTACCTAATTTTTCTTGTGTCTAGGTCTCCTTTCCACACTAGCTTTAAATCCTTTGCGGGTGGTAAATAGGTCTTTTACTTCTCTATTCCCTCTAAAGCACGTTATACATGATAGGGACTTGACATTTATTGCCTTTATTCTTACTTGGCTTGGTTGACATCTTTCTTTGCTGTCTGAAGTTCAAGAACCAATTCTTCCTTTTCTTTTTGCAGATTGACGACTTCCAATTCTAAATTTTTAATATTATCCTAGAAAGGTTATAGGTCAGAGAGAAAGGACACATTATACAGGACAAGAAGAAAATTGCTTCAACATTCCATGTCTTCAGGAACCATACATTAAATTTTATCACTTCAACTGCATGCTAAAATCATATGTTCTTGAGTCAATGGAGATTAAGGTTACACAGTGGGAAAAGTATTGGCTTCAAATCCAAAGGCCTGGGTTTGAGTCGTGACTGCAACACTTACTATCTAAGTATCTTATGGAAAGTTTCTTTTAGCCTTAGTTCCTATGCAGAAATAATAGAGCAAGCCTGAGACTACTATTCTCAAAAAGGTCTGCTTGCAAGGTTGGCTCTTAGCATGTGTTTGGAAACTAATATTTTGATAGGGTTCTTGCCATTCCCTAGCTGCTAAGATCAACTCACTAATGCTTAACTATGCAAGCAATGTGATTTACCCTTTTTCAGGGAGTACAGAGTCTTGTTATGTTATCTTTTTTTTTCCAGTACTGGGGATTGAAATCAGGGCCTCACGCTTGTTAGGCAGGTACTTTACCACTTGAGCCACTCCCACAGTCCTCTTTGTATCCTTTCACTAATCTTACCTATCAGTACATCTGTATACTGAGTTTTGTGAGTTCACCCTGTGAATCACTGGACTCAATAGTGGTCTTGGGGACTCTTAAGCTTGCTTGTTTTGTTTGTTTTTTTTGGTAGGACTGGGGTTTGAACTCAGGGCTTTGTGCAAGCAAAGCAAGCACTCTACCACTTGAATCACATCTGCAGACCATTTTGCTCTGGTTATTTTGCCTGGGCTGGCCTTGAACTGCCATCCTCCTGATCTCAGCCTCCCAAGTAGCTAGGATTACAGACATGAGCCACGGGTGCCTGGCTTCCTAAGCATTTCTTTATCTATGCAAATAATTAACAATAACACCAGCTGGGTGTAGTGGTACATGACTTATAACCCACAGTATTCCAAAGGCTGAGGTAGGAGAATCATTTGAGCCTAGAAGTTTGAGGCCAGCCTGGAAAATATAGTGAGACCCATCTCCAAGACAAACAAACAAACAAACAAACAAACTCCACCAATACCTATTTCACAGAGTTGCTGGGAAGACCAACTAAGACAAAAAGGTAAAGACATTTTATAAACTCTAAGGACCTACACAGATATTTTCAACAACAGAACTTTCAAATTTATCTATTCAATAGCAACTTCAGTTCTGCATGCATTTAGGAAATGAATTCTAGAAACTGAAGTTTGGCAGTTTCCAAGACTGGGAAAATCCAATGATCAGATTCCATCCTGTTCTTATAACCAAAAGTGGTTGAATGAGTGGCTGGGAGCCAAGCTGGGTATATGAGGGCCCCAGATCCATACTGGATTGACACAAAGAAGTAGAGACAGGTTAGGTGGGGCTGTACAGAGATGCATTCTCAATAGACTAGAGCTGTTGTCAAACCAATGAGCCATTCAGTACAACCACTGAAAATCAATTATCATTGCTTTATAGTTACTCTAAATATTTAAACTGGTCAATAACCTAAAGAAAATAAATTAAAAATAATAAATATATAAGTACATATATATATATATATATATTGTTTTTACTTATAGAACTATCTTGTGAATATATTTTTGTGAAAAGCAATCCAGATAATACATATAAAAGCTAAGTCCCCTTGACTGTCTCACTCCTATCAAAATTCTACTCCCTTCTCCAAAAATAACCACTGTTATCCGCATGGCATAGACAGTCCACACATTTTCTGCAGACATTTACATATGTACATATTATAGACCTAAACCTTTACATTTATAAAATATATTATATATTACATATTAGATAATGCTATATAGAAAATATATCACATATATTAGGCAAATGTCTACAATATATAATTGATATAACATATAAATACATATAGTATACATATATAAGTGTGTGTGCAGCAATTCAAATAGGGGCTAGGCTGTAGCTCAGTGGTAGAGTTCTTGCCTAGCATGTGTGGGGCTCTGGATTTAATCCCCAGCACCATACAAAAAGAATTAAACTGTAAGTGTAATGTATACTATTCTGTAACTTGCCTTTTTTAACTTAATTGATCTTAAAAATCTGTATCAGTACATACAGATCTGCCTCATTCTTTTTTTTCTGATAGTACTATGGTTTGAACTCGGGATCTTGTGCTTATTAGACAGTCACTTTTACCACTTGAGCCACACTGCCAGCCCTTTTTGGCTTTAGTTGTTTTTGGATACAGCCTTGCACTTTTTGCCTGGGGTTGGCCTTGGACTGCAATCCTCCTACCTACTCCTCCTACATAGCTGGGACTTCAGAAATCTTCCACCACACCTGGCTTATTTGTTGAGATGGGGTCTTGCTTATGTTTTGCCCAGGATGGCCTCAAACTACAATCCTTATGATCTCCACCTCTCCAGTACCCAGCTGCCTCATTCTTTTTTCTAACATGATAAAATATTCTTTTAAATGCTTCTGTGCATATGAGTAAAATTTTACTAGAGTAGGAAAAAAGCACACATTGAAAAAAGATATTGTTAAAGCATTATCCAAAGTGGCTATTCTAATTTCCACTTACCATCTAAGGATGAGTTGTACTCATGTTAGCATTTGATATTATAACACTTCAAAACTGCTATTAATCTGATGGGTGAAAAATAGTATTTTAACCATGTTCAGTCACTAACTATTTCATCAACTCCACCGAGGGAATTATTCAAATATATTGAGAATCTTGGTTCATATCAACTCATGGTATCTTCATTGAACAGAACCTATGTCTCACCCAATTTTTCTACAGCAACTCTTCATCATATAGGAAAAATACTGTTTAGAATGAAAAACTGTCTTTATTTCTTAGAAAAAGAGAGATGGTGATTTACATGCCAGTAAAAGGTACTGTTAACATTAAGAATTTATTTTCAAGCATATTTGAATCCAAGGGAAAAGGAACTAGACATCTTACTATAGCCATCATTATAGTTCACTATTTACACCTCCTTGTAGGGTTAGAAATATGCCAGGAGAACTCACGTTCCCATGTTTCTGGGCAAGAGTATAAGAAGAAAGGAATAATTTCTCAGCCTTACTAGTAATCTTAAGTTAATCCTGGAAAAGCCAAAATATACACAACCTAAAAAAGGCTGCATTGAATGTCTTGTTAACACAGACAATTGAGCTGCATACTTAATTTGCTTCCTCCTGAAATTTCAATAAAATAACCCAAAAGGTTGTATAAATCAACAAGAATTGAAAGAGAACGGGAGAGCAGTCAAGAGATATGAACAGACTTGAATGGAAAAAAAAAACCCTCAAATATAATTCCCATAGGATGAATGCCAAGAAGCAGCAAGTCAATTTGTGTCACAGGTCCACAGAGAGGAGTAGAAGCTTCCTTTCCAGAGTGGCTGACCCTCACAGGCTGGATTTATAGACACTGGACATGGCTAAAAGCAGGCTCAAGAGTATCATACTGATGAAAGGGTTAAATAAAAGTCTGCATATGACTGGAGAGACTCCAGAATGGTGGTATATCACTCTTCTTATACAGGTCTAGGCAGAATGAAAGATTTCTTTGTGGAAGAAACCTATGCAGAACTTCCTGTTGGCTTTTAGTGCCTTACTCAAGTATGAATAGACAGTTAAGGATCACTAGACATTTGGGGAAAGCTTCTTACATGAAAGAGAGAATACAATAAGCACACCAAAGAAAGGAAATGTGGAGGAAATAGAGGCAAGGCAGGGGGAAGAAAACCTCAATAAATTTTAATTTCTGTTGGTGGAGTAGCTCAAGTGGTAGAGTACCTGCCTAACAAGTGTGAGGCTCTGAGTGCAAACCCCAGTACCACAAAACAAACAAACAAAAAACTTTAATTACTAACCTTATGGTGCATCCATGAAAAAATGAATAGTAGGCTATAAAAACACACAATTAGAGGATCAAAAGAGATCTTGGAAATTAGTAGGCAAATAAAAGAAGTTCACCAGAAGTAATGGAAAGAAATCTCATAGAGAAAGGAATAAAAAGAACAAAAAAATAGAAAATAGGAGGGATGAGGTAAGAAAATGAAATCTGTAGTGAAATGGCACTATCAAAGAAATGATATAAGAAGACTTCCCAGAAAAGAAGACATTTTGAGATTGTGACACTTGAGGACAAAGAATATTATAAGAACCTCTGTAAATGCTACAATGTACCCCCACCCAGCACAACAATAATAATAAAAATTTTAAAGGAAAACAATTTCCATAGAATTCTAAACTCAGTCAAACTAAGAAGTGTAAGAATGAAAAAAAGTTATTTTTCAGACATACAATGACTTAAAAGATTTTCCTTCGTGCATGCTTTCCAAAAGGGCTGTTGGGGTTATATTCCACCTAAACCAAAGAAATATCCCAAGAAGGAGGAAGCTAGGGAATTTGTTTTAACAAAGAAATGAGGAGTGAAGCAAATTCTTTAGGATGATAAATTCCTTTGACAGCAGGCTTGGGAAAGTGAACCAGACAGATGAAATAGAGACCTGATTATTAATTACCAAGGGAGACTTAGAATTACCATTAGGAAATTCCTAGTCACTACTGGTCGTTTCATAATTCATACTATAACCCAGACCATCCACTAAGAGATCTGCCTTTCTCAGAACCTAAGCATATTTATTAGAACACAACTGCTCTAAAGCTGGGAACGACATTTGTTATAATGCTATCTATTAAATACCTGTGGTATAAGACAAGGCATTAGAGTAAATGGAACAGGTTCCCGATACCAAATGTAAACCACCACCAATACAATTCCAGCTGTACCATGTACATCACGTTGTCTTTTTGTCACTAAAAGGTGTGCTTGTTTTCTTTCCATTCAGTTAATGATGGCAGACATAAACAAATGTTGCCCTACAAAATTGTTTACCTGGTACTGGAACTGAATGGGCTGTAGTTGGCTATCATTCTGAGTCATTTTTCTAGCTAGGGCCTCTTTCAGTGCAAGGGCTTTATTCAACTCAATCAGCTCCTTAGACATCTGAGCTTGACGTAGAGCATGCTGAGTGGTGAAAGCATCAGAAGACCTGCTGGTTTCTGGACTGGTTTCCACTTGCTGGAAAAGATAATGATCAGGATAATAGAGGATAATGAGTTGTAAGAGAAACTAGAAGTTGAAGTTCCTTAGGCACTATTTCATCAAGTCTCATAGCCATTTCTCCATTAGCAATACCTTTGTTCTTTCACTACTGTGGTTTCTCATATAACATTTGCTTTAAACATCTGAAATTAATTAAACTAGTCTATATCCATGTTCACATAAGTACTCTCTTAAATACTTAAGCTTTCTTGTTACTTCCTTTACTGATCTGACCAACACTCCTTACTTTTACTTCATTTCAAGGGTGTTCCCTAAAGAAGAGACGGTAGTGGAGATGGCAAAGAGGATCCATTTATTCTCCCATGGGTGTCTTCCTTCTTTCAGAGTGTGAAAACTACCAATATATATATTTGTTTAGGGGTAAAAGGATGTTTTAAGCAAACCATGGCCTGCCCTTTCATTTTGACTTCACCTTTAGTCAATATCTAACACATTTAACCTATCCTTGTGATATGAACACTCAAAATATTTTCCCTGGTTCTTTTAGCCCCTAACCATTTCATCCATAGAAAGGTCTGCTGAGAAAAAGAAATTCTCTTCCATTTCTCCTCTGATGCCATTTTGACTTTGCCATAATTTCCAAATTTGTTCCTCTCCTCCTTTTAACTTGCTGGACAGTTGATGTAGAATTCTAGCATCTAACAAGAAATCAGTAAGCCAGATTGCACATATGGAATGTGACATCCCTGAAAAGTCTTGCCACCCATTACCGGTTATATTATTAGAGATAGAGCCTATCCAAGTTAGGGATTTTATGAAACAGATTTACACTAAAGATGTCTGGATTTCCAGGGCGTTCTATGGCAAATGGTAGTAGTCACAGATTCCCTTCTTCAGTCGAGTGATAAATTATAGGAAATGGCAGGTAGAGCTCCTGGTTCCACACAAAGGGGACAATTACTTACAGCTTCTGGTTCCACCATAGTGTCAATAGCCGCAGCCATGCAAGCAGCAGTTTCATCCTGCAGTGACAAAGGTTTCGATTTAGGCAAAGATTCTGAAGTGAAGTTCACTAGTGGATTTTATATTTGTTATTTAACTTTTTTCAAGTATACACAGAGACAATTTAAGGTGCTGCCTCCATTTTGTAGTCACAGACATTCTAATAGCCACATGCTTCTATTTCCCACCTTTCAAGAGTTTCTTCTTCAAAAAGGGCAATTGCATAGTCTTTGTAAAAAAAATAAGGCCATGTGACAACTGACATATTTATTCTACTTCTCTTTTTCTTTGCCAGATATCTTTGAGCCAGAGAGAAACACTTAGCCATTCCAACAGACAAAAGTTTAATCCATTTTATAGACTTTCATTTTACATTTCTACCACTAAGTCTACCTGTATCAGGGTACAATTCTAGTTACTTCTTATGGGCATACCATCCAAAGAATAGACATACAAAATACTGGCAATGATTCAGAAAAGTAGACAAAATGAAGAGCTACTTTTGATTTTTATTTTAAAGTCAGTCAAGATAGCAAGGTCCTACTCCATAAGGAAATAAGGGTCCTAAGGGAGTACCCCAGAAAAATGTGATCATAAACCCAGACAGATAATAAAGCCTCTATCCCTCACATAGCTAAGAACTGATCATATGAAGCTGCTCTAAGTAGTTACTAGGAGGGGAAGGGTGAGCACTAGTTTACTCTCAGAGAACAACAAATTCCCTTTTTGGACAGTGGAAAAACAAACACTTAGAAAGGAAACCTAAAACCACCTATTAGGACTAATTTGTTTACAGACTATTACATGAGAAAGTTCTGTTCTCACCACTGGAATTTAGGGTTTATTTGGCATTGTAACATATGGATTACTGCTTCTGATCCTGCAAAACCCTGGGAAGAAAGTATTAGTTCCAGGAAGTCACGTGATTAAGGAGGTCACAGGGAAAAGAATTCTTGGCTTAACAGCAAAGAAAGAATTTAGGGTTAGCACATGGGAAGCATTACATGGTTGTTGAAACTCCAGTATCAGTACCTTTAAGGCAAGGAATGAGGATGACTTTAATAAGTGCTGCTTATAAAGCATTTTCTCATCATAATTTACAGTACTGGTAATTCTCCAAGTGTCAGACACACTAAATCCTTCTTAAAAAAACAGAGCACATCAATCTAATATAGGTTAGTGGTTACCCTTTCCTCTCTTCCATGTTTTAATTTTCAGAATAAGGACTAATTAGTCATAAGCCTATCCTAGATTATTATGATTTATAATAACTGTCTTTTGGACTTATTTTTCTTTCCCTTTCCTCTCCTCTCCTCCCTCCCTCATCTTCTCCTTGCTTTTTTTTTGAGACAGGTTCTCACTACACAGCTCAGGCTGGCCTTGAACTCACAAATCTCCTGCCTTGGCCTCCTGAGCCACCACACCCCAGCCTGGAGACTTTTTTAGTGCCTTCCAGAGGGTCAGGATCAAAGGAGAAGGATTAATCTTTGAAGAAGACATGTTACTGTGGGTTTATCATTGGCTTTTGGCCCAGTGAAATTTCACAATGCTAAGGTTTAAGCTTATGGTTTAAACATGAACATAGCAGGATTCTGCTCTCATAATCCTAAATGTATAAATATATAACAACAGGATTTAGTTCAAAATATTGGCCCTTTTCCCACCCTCACCCTCCCTATTCTAAGGCTACAAGTTAAAAACCTCTTGTAAGTAAAAGACATGGTTTGCACACAGTGATGGTCAGAGGATCAAGGATGGGATACATTGTGCTATACTAACTACCAAAACCTAGGTAATAACATTACTAGGCATGCAAAATACTTCTTATAGAATCGGTCTTGGAGTAGGGAGTATAAACAAAAATATTTGATTTTGCAGGAAGTGAAAGGGTTGGATAAATTTTCTCACAGGTAATTGCAACTAAGGAGATTTGCTTGAATTATATCTTAAGGGAAGAAATGGTACAGTTTGGCACTGAAAACCCCAGGAGGAATATCCACAAATAATGGTTGCCTTCATAACTGAAAAAGGGGTGTTCACCCATCACTTAAAATAAAATAGTTTTAATCCAGAATGGAGGGCACAAGCACTTACATTTGAAACATTCTGCTTTCACAGTAGCATGTCTTAATAAAAGCCATGAGATATACTGTTTTGTACTTCCAAAAATATGTTGCTGGGAGAGTCTCCAAACAATAGATGTGGAGAACTCTGATTCAAGAGTCCAGCAGGAGCCTAGGATAAAAGGGTTTACTCTGCCTAACTGTGACAGAGGATGGAAGCCAGGAACTTTATCAGCTTGTGGCAATCTTTAGCACCCTCCTACTGCATGTGCCAAATGCATTTCAGTGGCAGACAGCAATTCTACAGAGTTCTTTTGAGCCAGCCACCACTAACCACTTCTTCTACAGACACACCAGGCAACTGTTATATTGCCAGATTCTCAGTGAGGACGCTTATCTTATTTTATTAATTTGGTTCCATAGGTTTCCTTCATCTTTCCCATGTGACTCAAAGCCCCAGAAATGAGGTAATATGAAACTCTCTAAGACTAGTGTGATACCATGAATAATGGTATACTGAGTCATTATTTTCTGAGCTTATAAATTTTGGCTTCACTAGGCTTCTGCACTCTAGAATATCTTAATTCTGAGGCACTAGGTTTTCATGTGTCAGCTGTTTCAATTGTAATTAAGTATAATTATAGATAGTGATATTTGCCTTTGTGATAGCTATTTTCTAGCATGCACTCTATATACTTCAGTTGCACTTATGTTCTTAGCATTTTTTAAACCTCTGTGTTTGCATATGCCTTTCCCTCTATGTAAATTGTCCTTTCCCCTTTGTCTGCATGGCAAACTCCTACTTATTTTTAGGATCCAGTTTCTTCTGTGACACCTTCCTGAATTTTCTAGACTAACTAATAGTCAAGCACCTCTTCCTTGGTGCTCTCACTGTACTTTGCTCATATTGCTAATATAAATGAGAGCACGTGCCTAGTTTTCCTCTTCAACTGTCACCTTGTCCCTCACCCCTTTATTGTCATTTTTCTATCAATGAACCTTAATCAACTTACAAATGATAAGGTTTGAAAAAATGACCCTTAAAATAATCTGTTAACTATCAGAATGGGATCGCACTAACATGTTCCCCGAGCATGGGGCATGAGAACTGGAACAACCTCTAACCAAAAGTTTCACAGCAATTAACAACAAAAACTGCTACCGGAGCCAAACCACAGGATACACTCCCCTTTGTTCTCTTCACTCTATCAAACTTCAGTCCTGCTCGACTTGGGGAGTTATCTGGAGCTCAGGTCTCCCTAAGTATATTAACTGCATAATGCCTTTAACCCCAATATCAGTCACTTAAAATTATTTCCTTTTGACAGTAATATAGCATTTAGTAATGTTACATAGCTAGTAAGTGACAAAATTGGCTTCAAACCAGAGTATGTTTGGCTCTGGAGTCTAAGTTCTCAATTACTATGCACTGTAGTTTTGAACCTATCATGACAGTTTTATATAACACTACTTATTCTAAAACACTGCCTAATAGTTTTGGGAGAGTTTAGTAATTCAGTTTCTTAGAACTGGCCATCATAACCTTTCCCCTTGATAATACTGTTTGATATTTTTTTCACGTGCTCTTTAAAAGTAAGTCTCTGTGTGGATGACTTTATGATACCCTATAGACAACTTTAGAAAACAGTGGGCAATACCAAGGATAGGAGACTCACTGTCCTGGTAAAATGAAAACCTGTTCCCAAGAGCTAGGAATTACCACCAGGAATCTACATATACATTTCTGCTTTAGAGTAATAGAAGAATATAGATGGAATAAAACTAAACATAAACTCTTATCATAGTATACTATGGTATGACATCAATTTCTTACAAAGTATGCATGTCTAAGGACTAAGCATAAAATAGATTTTTAGAAGTGACTCACACCTGTGATCTTACCTACGCAGGTGGAGATCAGGAGGATCATGGTTTTAGGCCAGCCTGTGCAAACAGCAAGACCTCATGTCAACCAATAAAACAGCTGGGTTTGGTGGCATGCACCTGTCATCCCAGCTATGTGGGAAGCATAAATAGGAGGATCATTGTCTAGGTGCACAAGGGTATAAAAGTGAGAAACTCTTTGAAAAATAAGTGAGGCAAAAAGGGCTGACAGCCTGGCTCAATTGGTAGAGTCCCTACCTAGGAAGCACAAAGCCCTGAGTTCAAACTCCAGTACTTAAAAAAAAAGAGATTTTTAGCGTGGTGGGACTATGAGAATTTTTCTTCTGGGGAAAACAACAAATAATTATACCCATACCAATAACTACTATAAGAGTTTTGTTTTTTTAAGACAGGGTCTTGCTACATAGCCCAGACTGGTTTTGAACTCTGTGTAGCCCATGCTAGCCTTGAACTTGTGATTTTCTTATCTCTCTCTACCTCCCAAGTGCTGAGATGAGAGGCAAGTCCTACCATACCCAGCTTATGACTGTATTAAAAATAAAAATGGGAAACTGTGGCACAATTATCATTAAAATTATTTATTATTGTTTATAAAAGAGAGCAATTGTATGCCCTGGTTGCTCTAAGCTATTGTGAGAACCAGATTATTTAAAATTGGGGTATGATACAAGACCCCAACAACTGCTGCTGTTGTTGCATGTGGTGTTTGATTAGAATATGGATATTTTTTGAGTCACGGTCTCACTATGTAGCCAGGCTTGCCTGGAACTCATGATCCTCCTGCTTAAGTCTCCTGAGTGCTCAGATTACAGGTGTGTACCACCATGCCTGGTTAGAATGTGGAAATGTTAATGTGTAATGCATATGTGACCTATGAGTGCTTTAACAAACTTAATGTTCAGATCATATTCAATGACCTATAATCTCTGTCCTTCAGCATCGTAAAATTTAGTTGTTTTAGTAAAAGATCAGAGAGTTAGAAATGTTTGTATGCCTCAAGAGGAACAAGTGAGAGTGAATGCCTATTATAGTGCTCCTACTTGGCTTACCGATAGCTGGGTAATCACTTGTTGCAGGTTACGAATTATCTCTACATTTTCTCTTAATTCCTGGTCTTCCAAAGTCTCTACTAGCTTTTGAAGATCCACTTTGCAGCTGAAAATTCAAGCAAAACAACCCAAGGGTTAATCATACTGCAAAGGACAGGAGACATGATCAGATACGAAGGTGGTATAGGCTGATAACAAATATTTGGTAGGAAACTTACGCTGCATGCTGTCTGAGCTCTTCTAGCTTGGCATTCATTTTTTCATTGGCTTGCTCTGTCTGCAACAAAGACCCAGGAGATTATCAGTTGCAGTGATAATCTGATAGCCTTACCTAATTGTACTTGTTCCTCTACTCCTATGGATGAAAACCTAGGTAGAGAGGCTGCCTTCTTTGTTATAATAGAGATTTAGTGAGCTCTGGTTATTTAGTGAGAAATATGTTTTTTAACAGAGTCATGGAAATTAGCCCTAAAGTCAACATGAGCTCCTAAAAATAGCATTTGAGCAGCTGGGTTTTATGCTTGCCATGAAGCTCAGACTATGGGGTGGAGTGTGAAGCCTTAATTCCATAGAGAACTTCACAACTGGAGGAAAAAGCAGTACTTCCTGGCATGTTACTCCCTGCTATTTGCAAAAAATAAAAAATAAAATCACTTTAAACTGCCTCCTACATTGCACTGTTCCCTAGTCCTAGCATCAGGGCATTAAAAATATAAAAGGGCCTCAAAACTAAATTTGAGCTAAGAATTTTTAAAGGTACACTATCTGATATGATAGGCCAGTTTTAGCATAAGAAAGCAATAAAAAGGGTAAGGCATGAGAATGATGTTGGTGAAAAAATGGCAGAAGGCAGCTATGATTGGTACTTTTGGTTTTATTTCAATCACAGAATCTGTAACATGCTGAATGCTACGACACATTTAGGAAAGATTGTTTATATAGAATAAAAATGTGCTTGTTATGAAGTTCTGACAGGACATCAAACGCTAAGGCTATCAGGCAGCTATTATAATAACCTTATAAAAGTCATATGAGTATGTGGCTAGAATAACAAGTACTGACTGTTATGTCAGTTATGCTCATATACATGTGAAACATGGCTTCTAGAGTTACTTCAAAGGCATAAAATGCAGCAGTGGAGACAGAAAATTATATATGAAAATCCTATTCTGCTAGTAATGGATAATACAATGGACATAGGATCCAGCATCCTTTAAAGAAAACTTTAAGCAGTTTACCTTTTCTTGACTAGAGAGCACAGTGATGTATGAAAGGTGCATACATTACAGAGGTTCAATTACATTTTGGTTGAAACTCATTTTCACCTCTGGCAATAGTTGTGGAATCAAAAATTGAGCTGTATTTAGGCTAATAGAAAAACCTTAGTGACAGAGCCAGACTGTCTTACTATCAAACAGACAGGTAGTAGGAATCAGAGTTGGTGTAATCAGTTACACAGTGATCCACTATTTGGAAATAAATCATATGGAAAATGAATTAATTTCCCAGCTGTTATACCTAACCATTACAGCTGTTAAGATGGGATATGAAATGTGACAGGATCAGGGGAAGGGAGATAGAGCAGTACTAAGATCTTAGTGAGGGAACAGTTACGTGGTAGAGGTTGAGTACCAAGTAACTTATCCAAAATGCTTATGATCAGAAAAAAAGGTGTCAGTTTTCAATTTTTTTCAGATTTGGGAATATTTTCATACTTGATGAACTATCCTGAGGACAACACCCAGGTGTAAACACAAAATTTACTTATGTTTCATATATATCTTATACACATAGCCTGAAGGTAATTTTATACAATATTTTCAGTGCATCTGTGTTTTAACTGTGACTTGTCACATGAGGTCAGGTGTGGAATTTTCCACTGTGGCATTATGTCAGTGTTCAAAGAATTTTGGATTTTGGAGCATTTCAGATTTCAGATTTTCAGATTAGGGATACTCACTCAACCTACATTATGGATAAAGATTAGGCAAGACTTAAGTTAACAAAGGGACTTAGTTCTTTCCTTTCTAGTATTTTATAACAAATCTATTTTAAAATGGGAATCACGTAGATTCTTTGTGGCAGATACATACTTACTGTACAATTCTTTTAAATATTCTGTTTGATAATAAGCCATGTATTTACCCAACAGAGGCTCCCTGTAGGATATGGAAATACAAATACATTTCTTTCCATATAACTTATCTCTCATAATGAGAAGCATGGTAAATATTTTAGAAACTAGGGCTAGTAAATGTCCAGAGAGCTGATGTTTTAGTCTTGGGCCTCACCAAAATGATCCTCTCCAACATCTGGGCTGTCTGACCAGCTGCCTCACTCAGACCACGACTTAATTTTTCGTTCTCCTCTAGTAGGGACTGATTCTTCTCCATCAGTGATTGTAGATTCTCTGATGGCTCCACACTAAAAGAAAGAGCAAAATGTTAGAAAAATACCTGATTGACAACACCTATGCCAACACTAGACAAAAATATATCCCACAAACCTTCTAGGTGGAGGTTGGGTTAAAACTACCTCATAAAAGTCTGGGAAAAGTATGTTCAACCCTACCTATCCTCCCAGTCTGGCAGTATATTAGATGAACAAGAAACCCACCTCTGAAGTACCTTAATGGTTTAGAAGGAGGTAATAATTCAGGGCCAGATAAGGTTGAAACAGCTAATCTTTACTTTGGCTCTTGATTTAGGATTTCTCTATTTGTGCCATTTGGGTGAAGGCTAACTATAACTAAAATACATGTTCTCTCCTTTTTCTTCCTACCTTCAATTCCTCATTAAAGATAAAGCAAGTAGCTGGGCACTGGTGGCTCAAGCCTATAATTCTAGCTTTTTGGGAGGCAGAGATCAGGAGGATAGTTCTTGAGACCTTATCTCGAAAATACCCAGCAAAAAGAGGGCTGGTGGAGTGGCTCAAGTGGTAGAGTACCCGACTAGCAAGCATGAGACCCTGAGTTCAAACCCAGTGTCACAAAAAAAAAAAAGATTAAGCAAGTAGGAACTGAGGCTGTACCTTAGAGTAGAGCACTTGCCTAATATTCACAAGGCCCCAGGTTTGATCACCAGCACCACAAAAGGAAAACAAAAGAGATCAGGAAGTACAGAAAGAGGAGGTATGGAAAAGGAAGTGACACTACTCAAGATCAAAATTTAACCTTATCAACAAAAGTTGATTGCCCATTTACTGTAAACTTTAGGGAAATAGCATTTAAGAAGTCAGAAAACTGAAATGATGACCAGTGGTCACTAAGGGCACATTTCACAATTCTTTATAAATACCATTCCCTTCTAAATGCTTGCTTTCCTTGAAACTGAAGACCCACAGCCTCCTGTTTATTCCTCTATCAATGTTAAATTGCTTAGAGTGAGTGGTGTCAGTAATGGAAGGGAGGGATAGAAGTAGCTTGAAGGAATATGTGCATATAGATAAGAACTTTTGGAATTTGTGCATATTATGGTATCAGTTCCAGACTAATGAAGCAGACTGAAAAGAAGCATAGTTTTTTTTTTTTAAATCCACGAAATGTTCAAAAGACTGGAAGATAGGACTGGTAAAAAAAAAAGATCAGAAGAAATATGAAGATTTGATCTGAAGAGGACTGAAGAGAAAAATGAAAAGTTGTCAAAGCTATGTTAAAGAGAAAAAAGGACAGGAGCAGCTGTTCTCAATCTCAATAAAGGACAGAAAAAAATATCAGGAATAGAGTAGATGCCCTCTCACCCAGATAAGACCTCCATCAACTCTCACAGATCTTAGCTTGCTCTTTAGCAAAAGCCACATGATAAGGTCTCATGTTACTTTGTTAAAAACCACTATAACTCTTATGAAGGAATGTTCAATTAAAATGTGGATTATAAAAAATAAACTGTTAGTAAATTTAGTGTTATTTTAGGTTACTGGTTCTTTATTTCCTTATTCTTATTAAACTGAAAACTTTGATGTCATTCTTGTAAGCTTCAAAGTAATGACACTCTTAACTGATTAGTTTTTTCCCTAAAATATTTTCTCTAAATGAGGGAATCATATTTAAGTCAACTATTCATTTTTTCCAAAGAAAATTAAGCACTTACAAGTAGGCTTCTCATTGCAATTTGAGGTTAATGCTTGAATATTTAAACACTGCTACAATTGTCTTGACACTTCTACAGCACTGTGTGCTAGGCTCTATTGTAAATGATTTACCTATGTTAAACTTATTTAGTTCTCACAACATCCCTAGGTAGGTTCTACTGTTATCCCGTTTTATAATTGAGGAAACTGAGGCACAGAGGTTAAATAAGCCAAAGTCACAGAAATAGTGAGTCATGGTAAGGCTGGGATTTTAGCTCAGCAGTCTAGTACTCCTAGCTACTATGCTAACTTCACAGATAGGTGAAACAGGAATGCAGAGGATACTGGATATAAAAGCTCTTAGAGTAGTAAGGAACAAAAAGCGGTACAGGACCACAACATGAAATAGGACTCCCACATGATGGGGGAAGACTTTAAGAGTAAAGTAGAAAGTAGAGTTAGGGCCAGACAAAGATCAGACCATAAAAAAAAAACAAAAAACAAAAAACAACAAAACCAATGTTTCCCACAAGGAAGGTATGAGGATAGGTAAGACACTCAAAAAACTAGATAGCATTTGTTGCCCTCAACGCAGAGAAACTAAAGCAGATACTTTAAAGTAACTGAGGCCAATAGGAGAAGGGGACCAGGAGCTAGAGAAAAGGTTAGTTCGAGAAGAATTAACTTAGAAGGTAACACACATGTACAGGAAATCAATGCATGTCA